TAAAATATATCGGAAGAGAGACAGAGAGGAGGATTAGGTTATTGGGGGGATTGATTTAACAATGAAAAAAGATGAGTTACTATTTTTTTTTTTTTTTTTTTTTTTTTTTTTTTTTTTTTTTTTTTTTTTCTTTCACGATTTAACTGCAACAGAAGCTTGTGAATATCCATATTAGTTTTTGTGCAGCGATAAATTGGAGCTTTACTGGGATGCATTTACCTGTTTCAAGTGTAGGAAGAGACGTAAATGTTGTAAGGCATAATTATCTTGTTCTCTGTATCGAGTAGAATATAAGTAAGTGGAGGCGATAAAAAAAAAGAAATTTCACGAAAGGGCGAACAATCGGCCGATCCGAAAAAAAAGGCCCGGAGGAGAAAGTTTTCGAAATTGATTTGCTCGCGCGGATCCCTTTGTCTCCGCGGCTGCGGCTCTCTCGTTTGAAACCAAAGACGATAATGATACTGTAATGTAAGTATATACACGACAGGACTCTCTCTCTCTCTCTCTCTCTCTGTAAGTATGTATATAGGCATTGCGGGCTTCAAAAATCGCACGTGCGTGACGACACGGTGCCAAAAGTGTTACGCTATTGACGTCACGAAGGTATCAGCCAGTGTATAATATATCTCCGTGGTGCAGAGTAGATGTATCCTTTTTTTTTCTCGCAAAAGAGCCTTTTCGGCTGTATCTCGAGGATCGCGTCTCCAGGATTCGTTTTTTTCGGCCAAAGAGATTTTTTATTTTTAATTTCCATTGCACGAAACGAAGGAATACAACCAAAGGAACTCCAGCTCAAAAGTCTGTATGAATATGCCCCGATCAAGGTACAAAATTTCTGTGCGTAAATCGATCGGCGAGAGCCAAAGGGAGAAGGGAAAAAAAAAAAAAAAAATTTAACCACTTTTCTCGCTTAAACGAACAATTCTCGCGGAGGGGGGGGGGAGATAAGACCGCAACAGTGGAGCAGAAGCAGCAGGAGAGCGTGCACGCGAGCAGTAGGTAATATACTTAAGGAGGAGAGAGAAAAGGTAAGGAAAACGAGAAAGGAGGGCAAGTGGCGACGAGAACAAAAAAAAAAATTACGCGGCGGAAAGAAGAGGGTACATAAGTAGGTATGTAAGTATAGAAGAAGCCGAAGTAGATACGTAGGTATGTACGCATGTGTTGCCGCGGCAGATGGCGATCACCTCGGCGATCACACAAGCTTTACGGGATCCCCTTCCAAAGCATCAAGAATGGAAGTGGTGAGGTGCCTCTGGCGTAAGTCTGTATGTGTGTACGTCGCGTAATATGTACACAGACGAATCAAAAGAAAGGGAGGGAAACAAAAAAAAAAAAAAAAAAAGAGACGCAAGTACAGGCGACACGAAAAGTGGCCTGTTTTGTTACGCGTTGGAATTTTCGTGGGAGGAGGTATATTATACGTGTACTCTTTAAATTGCTTACACACAATAACACCGCAGTTGTTGATGGTAAGTAGTAGATGTGGGAAGACAAGCATCTTTTTTCGTATACCCAAGCACGACGCAACATTACTAACAATATTAATTGATTTACAAGGTAAATAGATGATTGTTACGGGATGCAAACATTTGTCAATGAAATTGAAAAAAATGTCAAGTGTGCAGAATGAGTAGGGTATTTGTTTATCATGTTCTTGAGCTTTTTAATAAATGTGGGTTTACTATGGTAAACGGAAGAGGGGGGCTCGAACTTTTAATCAAGAGCAAAGATCTTTTATTGCTCCTCTTGTTGGCAATCACGTTTATATCTGGCAATTGATTAGGTGTCCGTATATAATATACGAGAGACTCGACAATAGATTTTTTTTTTTCCGATGGGAACGAAAATTTGGTGTAACCAAGCACGTGCTGTTTAAATGTACGTATAAATTGATACAAAAGCTGGCGACGACAACGAAAAAACGAGTCCAGAAGGTAAGTATAATATGTAGTACCCTAAAGTATCATGTATATATATACCACGCGTCACTCTCTGTGCACACGAATTGCCCCGCGCACATTCCTTGATTCTTCTCAGCTTCTCTCTCTAGAGTACTGCACCGAGATGTATGTGCACACGGTCACGATTCTCTCTTCCCCCCCGATCCCTTCACTCGTCCCCGACTCTTCCTTGTCCTTCTGGACGGTTTAGTTGGTTGGGCTGCTGGTACTGCAGTGCCTCCACGAGAGAATCAAGGAGCACGATGTACATAAGTATATTATTATAAAGCTACCAGCTGCGAGCCGGCTTTAATGTGATTTTTCTCTTTTTCTGTTTTTCCCTATACCATAGGCGACCATAGGTATACTACACCTTCTTCTCGGCGTTCATTCCATGCTACTGATGGCAGAGCGAAGAATGTAATTGTATGTACAATGTGTCGAGATTATAACTTTGGCATTGCAAATGACGACCAATCGTCCGTGTGAATATGCAAAAAATTTAAAATCATGGTGGGTCTTAACGAAAAAAAAGCACGGCTCGTCGAACCTTGGACCAAAGACCCACTGCGAAGACAAACAATATTGACAAACCGTTGAAACATATTTTGAATCGTCATTTAAGTACGATTTATTCAGGATTTACAGTAATTTTTTGCCCAAGTTAAGTATAATCCTTTGGTATAGGGTTTAAGAGAATCGAGCTGACCTTTGTTTGAGTTCGAGGAGACATGCTTTTTGTATACCTAGCAGCAAGTCGTGCTTTTTTTTCGGACGAGCCAACGATTGTGTAGAGCAATACATGCGTACAAGCGAGGTGAGTAAATATTTCGATGGGTATTGATGGCCTTTTTGCTTTTACTTTTTATTTTTTGAAGGAAAAACAGAAAGAGAAGATGGGAAAAGACGCTTGGATAAAAATATCCGTGGGATGACTCATGCGCGACGTTCCAAACGAGTTTTTAATTGTCAACTCTAATGGCTTTCATATATTTCACGGATATCCGTCTGTTGAATTTTTAAGCGTGTGTATTATACAGATAGTGAATCCAAGACGCAGGCGGGATAATGTAAATGTTGAGTCACGGGTGTGCGAACTTATTTTTATATTTTGAGGAAAAAATTTAAAACGTAACAACAGTTGTTACGATTATTTTTACTCTGAGCTCGAGTTCATAATTTTTTGTGTTAATGTTTTGTACATTGGTGTACATAAAAAAAAGTGTCCACAAATTCGATATAAAAATTATTCTTTAACTTTGATTTGAAATTCTCAGCACTCACGTATCTATTAAGTATGTACATGAAGCAACGGGATGTAATTCGGAATTTACGTGTACACCCATTTGAGACATTTTAAAACGCAAAGCAGCTGTTTAATATAGGTATTTTAACTTAGTATTTTTATGTTCCAAAACAGTATAGATTTAATTTCTCAGCTCTTATTTTGTAATTTTTTCGACACTTTAAGTGTAAAAATAGACTTTATTACACTTTAGTGTAAAAATTATATTTTCATACAACCACTGCTTTTTTTTTTTTTTTTTTTTTTTTTTTTTTTTTTTTTTTTAATGTTTATCAACAAAGTTTTATCAGCACCGGAAATATGAGCTCAACATTCTACGAAAATTAAAAAAGTGAGCGTTAATGCTTTAGGTATGGTATACATATGTAAACGTTAGATCGTATGAAACTAATGTACAATTTCATCATCAAAACCAAACTTAGACAAAGTATAGACTGTACAGACAGCGACAGACAGTGTATAATGAATTTTAGTAATTGATGTTTAATCATCATGACAGTACAACAGCACCTACACTATAATATAATACATACTTACTCTTTTTTTTGTTATGCCACTACGAAGAAATACTTTAGGTAAACTATAGTGCTTTATGATTTCAATTTTGGATAAAAAAATCTGTCATGTCACAAAGATTGTCAAAAAAAATATAAGACTTAAAATTTTCTGTGTATTTACATAAATGAAATTTCTATAAAAATTATAAGTAGGTATGTAAGTATAGAAGAAGCCGAAGTAGATACGTGATAACTTACATATCTTATTAGGTCTTGACAAAAGGGTTGCTGAACTCATCATTGAATATCTTCGAGTACATGTTATAACTGAGAAGCAAAGAATCATCAACTCCGGTTCCCACTTCTTTAACGTACATTCTGTACATTGATGCCAAGGACTGGCNTCATGTCACAAAGATTGTCAAAAAAAATATAAGACTTAAAATTTTCTGTGTATTTACATAAATGAAATTTCTATAAAAATTCGTCAAAGTTGGAGTGGTGAGTAAATGCATCCCGATTATTATCATGATCTTTTAACATTCGTGACGTACTTCTCTAGAACTTAGTCAAGTTTAGTTTATTTAAAAAAATGCGTACAGTCCAGTACTTTGTGATAATCAACGCGACAAACTAAATTAATGAAGTTAACATTTTTTTTCTCAATGCACCTTCCCTCCCTTTCTTAGTACGCATCTTGATCGCTTTCAAGTTCATTAAAATTGTCAAGCAAACAAGAAGAACCAACGAATCATCGATTTACTGGATTTAAAGAATCAACAAAAAAAAATAAAAAAATTAAAAAAAACCATCTACAACACTGCATTAATCCTTCAGTTATGGCATAAGTATACAATAATTATTTAAATATTTGTAGTGTCGCTCAATCGTACCTGCCGTAAACAGTCAACGTAAATACACAAACACCGATTCAACGCGACGCAACTCCCTATTTGAAGGTTATAGGTCATTGTTGATTTCGTACCGCAAATTTCGGGGGACTAACGGGGCTCTGCAGCATCATCAAGTGGTAGAGGTATATATTATACTTAGTGATTCTGAAAAACACCGTCGCCATCGTATACCCTCAACACTCACAATTCACAATAAGACACTGTCAAAAACTCACGTCTCACTCTCTGATTTTCTTACTTTTACAATCATTAACCGCTAAAGAAATCCACAAAATAAGGGGAGAGAGAAAGTGAGTAAAAGAGAACACGTACAACTTGTGGCGCATTTAATCAAACTTACCTCGCAAATGTCTGACAATCGGTCGGTCGGTTGCAAAACGACGCGCAGAGAAGACAACCAAGACCCCACTCTGCGATGCTGGTCCAAAATAATATATATCGGAGCGAACAGCAGATCTGATTTGTATTGTATATACTGTGCAACTACATGGATATACTTATCCTCGAGCCTGTTATTAACGGTTAACACGAACACGTGGAATGAGGGATGAGATATATAAAGCGTCTTGTCGAGAGAGGTCCGGTTCGCTTCTGCGTAAAGACGCGAGAAAGCACACGGCAAACTACACACGGAAATGCACTTGCATGAAATGAAAAACGGAGCGAACTAACGTAAACACGGTGCAGTGCTGAGTTCGGCTAGCAGCGAGAAACTAAGCCAAACCAGAATCACCGGAGACGACGGAGCCACCGAGCCAGACCGAGTGCGACTGTGCGAGACACTCGCCGCAGCTTTGCTTATTGCATGGTTCAACATTCGCTTCTCGTACCGTGTGTGGAATAGCTATATACCTATATATCACATTCACGGCCTGTGTGTGTGTGTGTGTCGGCGGGGTACATATTTTTTAAAGAGCGACCCCTACAATGTGTGTATATACAAAAGAATTAAAGGAATCATGTTTATTTTACGAAAAAATGTTGTGTGCACAAGAATATTGTGAAGAAAAACTGTAAAAAAACACAAAAAAAATTTTTAAAAGCATTGTTTAAAAAGTTTGATTTAATTTATAATTTAGAAGAGGGCATCAGTGCTTATTCTCTTGTTGTGAACGCCTGTAATAATTGAATTAATATTAAAGGAAATAAACAAATAAATAACTTTCTTGTAAACATATTTTGCTAGAAAGTTATACAGGTGGACTGATCGTCGGGCTTCTTTTTTCAATTACTGCAACTACTTACCTGCTGTCGTCTCCTGCTCCGAAATTTTCTTCAACTGATTTCTGGATCTATTCGTGTACGTTGTAACATATAAAAAACTGTACTTTTGTTCGTTCAAAGTCAGCAAAGCACTGCTTTAATCCGCGGTATAGAGGTGATTGTTTTCGTTGTAGCGGAAAAGAGCTGTTTTTGACAGTTAAGTATCGAGTCGTTTGGATATTATATATTGCCGTGGGAACGTAAGTAGTAACCAACGATTTTTTTTTAATCAGTACTTTAATTTTGCTTGTATTGTCGTTGGACCGTACTGTGCTTATTTTCGTGGCAGGCATCGATAAATGGCCATTATACGTAATTATACGGCTGTCCTTCATCATCACCAGTTAATCAAGGCAGCATATAATAGATTAATCGAGCTCTTGTTACCATCAAATGCGGAAAGGAGAGAAATGACAATAGAACCTTGACAATAACAATATCCTATAGTGTTGGCCAAAACAATGGATTGAGCATACGCCAGATGGGGTGTGGGTCAAAGACGAAAGAGGAATAAGACCTTGTCTCACGCAACCCTTTGGTATATACTTATATGGTGCCATTTTATAGCACATATACTAAATTTGACAAAGATCGATCAAAATGTGATCCAAATCAATTTTTTCATGAGCTTTTTTAACGCAGGAATGGTAATTTAATGGTCAAACCAGGCTTTTTTCTACTGGTCTTCTAATACTCCGCACTAAAAGTATATACTTTTAATAAAAGCGCCATATAATATACATACATATATTTTTTTTTTTGCAGCACATATCAAATACTCAAACTTTTTTTTTTTTTTTCGTAAGAACTAATATGTAGACAAAAACTCCAAAAATAATAATCTCCAGCATTAAATATACTCCTAAAAACATGTTTATAAATTTTTTCTGATACACCTTAAAACCAAGAGTATACTTAGTGCGCGTCCGTGCGTTTTCTTGAAATACTGGCAAATCAATTGCAATCGACTGATGTGCTCTTTTTGTTGGTTCACAATGTCACAGTTACCGAAAAATTAAAAGTGATTTTTATAAACGCGTGTCACAAGTAGAGTAAGAAAGAGTGTTCATATTTGTATAAACCAGAATTGGCGTAAATTTAGCGTGTGCTTACAGCGATAGACACACGCGATGGGAGCCTCGAGCAACATGCCTGAAAATTTAATCCTGAACTGTATATGTGTATATGTCACGCCAGTAAAAGGGGGATACGCGGAAAGCGCCTTTGTGTCTGCTTTGTCGCACAGGAGGGAAATAAAAGGGGACGCTTGCACTAGCCGAAAAACGAGCACCTATATGGGAAGAGGGTATAGACGAGCACACGAGCACACGAGGCTTGCCTGTATGGCGAGTTATTTTATTTATTTTTTTTTTCTCTAAACGATGGCACGTACGTGTACGTACACATTTACTTACCACAGTTTACGGCGTAATGGAAACTTTTTTTGTCATAAGTGTGCGGCCTATATATATATATTAAAAGGAATATCATGTCAATCGAGCTTCGTTGTAGTCTTAAAGACTATACTATTGAAAGAGGAAATATTCTCACCAGCTTTTTCGTTGTTTTGACTGATCAGTACCTGATGATGATGATGATATACAACTGTTTCTTTCATTTGAGAAATACAGCGAGCAAAATTTTATTTGACAACTGGTTTCTATTCATTTTCATAAATATGTAATATTTTAAAAAAAACGACGATAATTCAGTACTATTTGTAACAGCGTTCATTATTGTACTTATGCACCGTTCTGCCAGATGCATGTATTTGCGGTAAATACCCACAATATAACTAAAAATATTTGTGTTGATGAATAATCACTAAAAAAAAATAAAATTAGAAAAAAAAGATTAATTACTTGTACGCTGTCTTGTGAGAAAAATGGTGATTAGAGGCTTGACGTGATGGTTTGACGTTATTTTAAAAACTCATACGACACATTGTTGTATTCATTGTAACGTAGTGTTAAAGTAAAGTTAATATTTGGAAAGGAAAAAACGCGTCCTACCCTCTACTATAATTATTAATGTGAGCAGCCTCAACCAATTGTATAACAAATGAAAAAAATTCAGTGTGAACATGTTTAAGGGTAAATATTTTTTCCTTGAACATTAAAATTTTTTATTATTATTTATACATTTCTATACTTGAAAACGCCAAATTTTTTATGTACCCTTAAGAAAATTATCTCAATGAGACGATTTATAAACTTTAATTATTATTGTTTGCAAAGTTTTAATATAATAAATCAATATCTTTCGCTTATCAATCTAAAGTTATGTTTTAATTCATACATTTATTTGAGTAACTTTATATGTGTATTGGTAGACCAGGACCATAATAGCTGTTTGTGGTGTATCTTTCTACTTATTTGACACACTATTAACATATTTATTTAATTTTACAGGTTGTACACTCGCATTCGGTAGACACAAAGGGCAACAAGCTTCTCCCGCCAGATGGTGCTAAATATGACATCCTGTTTGCGGTACATTGTCCTATTTTGCATTCTAAACTGCATTTTTTATTACATTCCTCTCGACTCTTATGGGAACATTTTGGATTCGAGTTTTCAGCTGCAATTAAAGGTTAACAACATTTAGCAATTTCAGTTAATTTTATTTTCAATCACTTACATATTTCTAAAATTCAGATTTTTTCGATTTTCAACATAAACCTACATTCGAGGTCTTTTATTAATCAGGAGTATGTTATTCGTTAACATATAAATAGTTTACTTTATAAGGTAAAGTACCCTCTATTCGGACACATAATTTTAGGTAATCCACTATTTCTAAATTCACAAAAGAAATTAGCTGTTTTTGCGAAAAAGACGGTTGACGTATAGATAATAAAGTAATTTTTCTGTCACTTGAAAAAAAAAAGTTCTTTGTGATCGTATGATCATTTTTTAAAATAGTTATAAAGATTTAGTCTCAAAACCCCTATATTCGGACAATGCATTTCTAAATAGTCCAAATATAGGTCCCGTTACGACGTAGGGACCATGATCCGGACAGTGGTGAACATTGAGAAAATGAGGTTATGGCAGATCTTTATATACAGTTATATTTTACTTTAATGGCTTTAATTTGTTAAACAAATGCAAAAAACAAACTATTATTGTATTTTACTACATTGTATACCATTTCTTTGCACTTGTAAGCTATAGTAAATTGCTGGATTATGTGTGTCCGAATATGGGGTACAGTTTGAACCGTAGTACTTATCTAATTTCCGGACAGCAGCCAAACACAAAAAACTTAGTTATAGTTAAGAGGAAAATAAATAATAATACTGTGGGTGCAACCACTTTTTCTATTCAAAACATTGGTATATATCTTGCAAATGAGGTTTTGTGTTTAATATCCAAAGTAGGAAGCTCTCCTCAAACCTTGGGTTAAAAAATAGATAACGTTACTCATATCCACGATGGCTATTAATTACATATTCTAATGAGAATTACAAACTTTGCACGGCTGATTGGAACGATTTATTTCAACTACTTTGCGTTGAAAATTTTCAACTACCAAACAAATTTGTTGCGTTCCGACTGAAATATTGTAAACAAAAATCTTGTTAATTATTTAAAAAAAATCACTTACCACTGACTAACACCATAATATGAAATATTAAAATGAAAGCTATTAATATGGTTGCTTTTGGGGATCCACTCATTTTGACTAGAATTTTGTTGGAGCAGTAACTAACTTTATGCTGCCGTTCAAAATTGAATATATACTCGTATGCTTGTCAATTGCAACGATAACAGTACATTTCTCCACCTGAGAAGAAAAAATAAAATTATATCTCGGATCACAGACATATTTTTACTCAAGATAACGCCGCTAGTGTCAAAAACGAGACGTGAGGCTTATTGGTTTTCTCCTATTATAGTATTCTCTACTTTTAACGTACTTCAAATTGTTCTAGTATAGTTTTTTTTTTTTTTTTTTTTTTTTTTTTTTTTTTTTTTTTTTTTTTTGTTTTTTTTGTTATAGTGCTTTACGTCCGGCTCCTATAAAGGGCACTACACAGGGCACTTAGCACTTTGGCGAAGGAAGAGAATAGGGATGGGAGGCCTTACAATACTGGGAGGGGGGTAGGGGGACATTAGGCAATTTTGCTGCGAGAAGGTCGCCTAAACCCTCCTCGAGGAGCATTGCGTGGTGAAAAAGCACATGTGAACAATCACAGAGGTACTTGCCCGAAAAAGTCGCACTGGCCGGGAATCGGTCTCCCGCGTGCCAATCCACGACCTAGCCGACTGAGCCACCGCGCGTTCTATTATAGTTTAATTGAGTCGATAAGCTGGTCTCAGTTATGGTTAATCCAGTAAAAACCCCTTCAACGCAGACCGACTATTCTCACAGCAGCAGTTAAAAGACAATAGTCATCTGTAATACTAATCATTACTTTTTTTTTTACCTCATACAATGGTAGTTTTCAACGGATAAGTGCCATCGTCTCCGGAGCTATTTTCCGGCTCGAGGGACGTAAGGTACCCGCGGTGCTATGGTGCTTATGTGGCGAATCCTATTTTTCTCATTTCCTATACCTCGTGTGTTTTTGATAGGCTGGTGCGCATCCAACCAGGGCAAGCACAAGAAGCCCCTTGGGTCCTGCTTTGCCACCATTAGTCTAGCGATAAAACATTTCGCTCTGGGTACGAAATTTTTCTCTCAATCGAGTTTGAAAGTTTATTGCCCCGCAGTGGCAAACATAGTATAATCACTTAATGGCTGAAGTTGGAGGGTAAAAATTGCTTATTGAAAATAAAGTAAGTACCTACTTGTGTCTTACATCACAGAAAATATTTTAACTCCTTTTCATCCGTTTTATTCCAGGAAATCATAGTATGATTTTTCGAGCATTTAATAAGGTAGGATTAAAGCTTTTTTAATCTCATTGTTTTTAACTCATAATTGTCCTTACCAAGATAAAACTGATCAGGCTGTAGTCTTTAACATACCATAATAAATGCTGTTACTTTTCGTTAAACCATTATTAACGAGCTTATCATGAGTCGTCGTCGCGGGGGTTTTGATATTCACTTCTTTTCGTCAAAAAACAATGTAGTCTCGGATGAAGAACATCTAGTTTTGCTAATTTTCCTTTAACGAGTTGCAAATTTTTCACTCTTTTCGAAAAAATGTAATTACATTCATTTCAGTGGTTTATTCTACAGTGGATTAAGTTTTATATTTGTCTGATTTTTTTATTGCTCTGTATAGGCATAATTTGCCTTTTAAAAACATTTACTTCAATTTTATTTTTCTATATTTTTGTAAATTCATCAGCGTTTTTAATGACATCTTTATTGTTCATTTACTAATCAAAAGAAATTCAAAAAAGTTATTAATAATTTCAATATGAGAGATTACTCGCATATCTAAGAAACAAAATTGGTCAATAAGTCAATGTACAACTGAAAAAATAGACGTGGAGTAATTGAAACGAAAAAATATAACGATATAAATATATATTTCGACAAGCTATACTTTAGCGAATTGGTGGATAAGTCCCAATGCGTGGGTGGTGTCACAGAGATCATTGGACCCCCTGGGGGGCACATTTATGTGAAAGTCACTGAACGAACAAGCGAAGAGGCTTTTTGTTGACGGTGAGCTACAAGCTACAAGTAATTTATCAATTCTTCTTTTAGTTGTCAAGGTAACCTTTTGTCATCGAATCGAATATTTTTGTTAGTTCACTTGTTCTAGCTCTTTTACGATTCTAACGTATGTTAACCTCCGAAAAACAAACCGTTTTTTTACTCGAAGTCTTAAAAACTATTGTTTAACACCTTATGGCGTACAATCGAATATCGCCTAAGTCACGATAAACTGGCAACATCTATTAATTAATACCTTTAGCGAAACGAAAAGCGGTGGACTGCATTTCTGCTTGTCCATAAATATTATTTGTTTTATCATTTAAAGCAACAAAGAATTAACAGTGCCGATCTCGTAGAACTGTTACAATTCGAGATACTAGAACGTTTATTTTAAGCTTTTATTTTAATACGCCACGTTTTTTAAATTGCAATATTACTCATGCTTTTTTTAGACACAGCCTTTTAAAGGATTGGGATCACAACACGTCACGTGACTTTCGCGATACATAAGTATATATATATATATATATATAACCGAGTCGGGATACATTGAAGGCCTTATGGGGACAAATCTGTTTTTATTTTTTTACGCCTAAAACGATTATAATTCTGTAAAAGCTGGCACGTAACATATTTTTAAGGGAATAAAGGTATTGTAACTAATTTTTTTCCCAACTCAATCGTTTCATGAAGCTTAAAATCATACTGTGAAAGTGAGAAAACGCACATTTAACCTTTACAAAAGTCATGTTTATACACCTACATATGTATAAGCAGCAGCGGCAGGGATTTTTACATGTTAAATGTGCGTTTTATCACTTTAAAAGTATGGTCTTAAGCTTCGTGTAACGATTGGATTAGGAAAAAAATTAGTTACAATACTGTTATACCCACAAAAACACGTTATTTGCCAACTTTTATAGAACTATAATTGTTTTAGGCGTAAAAAAAATAAAAACAGATTTGTCCCCATAAGGCCTCTAATACTCTAATTTACTCCGACTCGGCTATATGTATCGAAAGGCACGTGACGTGTTGGATGCCATGTAGAACCTATTTCTTTTTTGTTCATTACAAGCCTCATCATGCATGGGGAGCTAAGACACAATGTACATACAGTTATTTTTCAATTATTTTTATTAAAAATGTATTCTTGCACATTGCACACCATAATAAACCTTACAAATATACATAACAATAAGCATTACAAAGCAATGCCATTTAAAAAAATATCGTGTAAAAAATCGATTCATCCGTGTGTTTTTTTGTATCGTATATATATCATACATTATATAGTTTTCTTCGACCTTAAACAATTTTCCCTTTCCCTTGTGTACATCTAACACCAAAGTGATGTGTTAGTATGACCATTAGATCATTAGAAGACACTATATATCTTCAATACATTTGCTATCTATCATCTAATGTTATTTGATAAGCAAATATACTTTTGAAATCTGCATTCAATTTGATTAACATCCAAGTCCACCCACACTCAATTGATCACGTATAAGCATATGAGCTCGTAATCTCAACCCCTGCATTTTGACTGATAATCTCAAATCCACAATCGGTAGGTCAGCCGTTTCGAGTACAAAAATGTTTCACAAATCAACTTAAACGAAATTTACAACTTTGCACGAATGAGCGCGATCTTTTTGGCCGCTCTTCGTTGAAGGTCCGGCAGTTTCATGGCCAAGCCCATGTTGCCCTGGATTTTGACTTTGCCCATAAAGAAAGCCTTCTGCGGGTTCAATTTACCAGAAATAAAGTCCATGATGTCGGTATCGCTGATGGTGAACACCACGTCGGGCTTCACCTTGCCGTTGTACTCGATGCTCCCTTTGCCAGTTTTCGCGTCGATCACCCAATAACCGACCGAACCTCCCGGTCCGTCGGTCACCTTGAACCCGTAAATACCCCGCATCCTCTCGATGAGATTATCCTCGTCTTCCTGCATAGCAATTTCCAGGGCCTTGAAGAGCACGTTGGCCTTGAAGCTATCTGGGTTCGCCGAGTACTCCATCTCCTTGGCCTTTACCTCCTTGCGATAGAAGGTGCTCTTCCGCGGGAAGCCCAAACGGTACAGAGCGACCACCGATGCTCCTCCCAAACCGATGTTCTGCTGCAGAGCTATTACAAAAAAGGAAAAATTGCACTACCTTCGGTATAATGGAATAAAAAAAAAAAAAAAACTACGGTGGTTCTGGCTCATTTAATACGCACCGAGTTTTGCACCGGGCACCTGCCGTTTGCCAGCCTCCCCTCTGAGCTGCCAACAGAGCTCGGTGCACTGAGCCAGCCCCGTGGCACCGAGAGGATGTCCCTTGGATATCAAACCACCGCTCGGATTGACGACGTATTTGCCGCCGTAAGTATTGTTCCCGGAGTCGATGAGCTCAGCGGCTTTGCCGGGCGCGCACAGACCCAGAGCCTCGTACGTTATCAACTCGTTGGCCGAGAAACAATCGTGCAACTCTATCACGTCGACGTCGCTCGGCCTGTACATGGTGTTCGTGAAAAGCTTCTCCGCTGCGTTCCTCGTCATGTCGTACCTGCGAACATTATACGTTTGATCGTTGGATTAAGCCTGGGATCGTTCAGCGATCGATCACTATCTTGATCGATTATATAGGCATCGACGCGTTGTACTTTAAAAGAGATAAAGTATCTGGCGGTTGATGACACGCACCCGACTAGGTTCATGCAACTTCTTTCGGAAAAGGTGGTTGGCAAATCGGAGGACATCTCCATCCCCACGATCTCGACGGCTTGGTTCTCCAGTCCGTGCTTCCTCACGAATGCCTCGTTGGCCAGGAGCACAGCGGCCGAGCCGTCCGACGTCGGGCAGCACTGTAATTTCGTCAACGGGCCAAATATCTTTGGCGACTTCATGATCTGGTCGAGGGTGTACTTCTCTTGGAACTGGGAATTGGGATTGTTGACCGAGTGCAGGTGGTTTTTGTAAGCGATTTTGGCAAAGTGCTCGGGCCTCGTGCCGTACTTCTGCATGTGCTCGATCATAGCGTTGCCGAACATTTGAGCCGCGATGGGACTCGGGTTTATCCCTGCGAGAAGAGCGATTACAACCATTGGAAACGTACAACAAACGAAAAAAAATGAGGGTAAATTCACCAGCAATGTCAGCCATGAGCTCGACGTGTTTGTCCATGGGGTTGGCCCGGTCCATGAACTTGCTGGTGAGGGAGCCGCGCTCCATCTTCTCGAAGCCAAAGGCCAGGGCGCAGCTCGCGTTCCCCGACTCCACGATCTGCTTGGCCAGCATGATGGCGGTCGATCCGCTCGAGCAGTTGTTGTTCACGTTGTAAATCGGGCAGCCGCTCAGGCCTACCTCGTAGAGGGCCCTTTGGCCCGAGGCCGAGTCCCCGTACACCCAACTGGCGACCGCGGCGTCCACGTCCGCGTAAGGGATCTTGGCGTCCGAGAGGGCCTTCGTCACCGCCTCCTTGGCCATGTCGGGGTAGTCAAAGTCCTCCCTGCGGCCGGGCTTCTCGAACTTGGTCATGCCCACGCCGATCACGTACACTTTTGGTTTCTGAACCATCGTGCCCCTCTGAAATGAGAAATTGACTCTACGCGGTGTCGCGTGTGTTAGGATTTTTTTTTTTTTTTTTTTTTTTCATGGAACATTGAAAATTAACTTACTTCGAGCGAGGAATCAGTTGGTTGGTCCCGTAGGAAAAGGCAATCGCTGAAATAATTATATCGCATATTTATTACCATTCATGATTTACGCATGAGTGTACAGGTTTTATCATATTCAAGGACAAGAGGTTTTTTTTTTCTTTGCCATTTTTTTGTCTTTAAGAGAAGGGGATAAAAAGTTTACCGGTTTACATGTAACTAAATATAGATTTTTTCAAAGTAATTTTTCACTGTTATAAAAAGTCAAGATTTCATAAATTATTATTAATTTGTTCCTACATCTTTTTTTTTTTCTCTTATCAAAGACGAAATATAATACGTATAAAGTCAGTGTAATTACGAACGCGGCATTTAAGTATACATAAGTAGTCTTGAGTAACGCTTGAGTGGTGGGCAATAATTGCAACAGATAAAACGATACGTGCGCGTTTAAAATATATATTTGTTACGAGGCAGCTAAATAATTTAGAAAAGCATTTTGGTATACCATATAAAAAAACGGAAAGGAGTGTAAGGAAAAGGGGAAAAACTCACATCCTGCAAAAAAGTACGAGACTCGCGGTCAACGATGCAAAATCAAAGAGAAAGCTTTTATGTAGGTTCTGCAGATAAGTAAATCGCTGCATTTCGCTGAAGCTGCGGAGTGAAAGTATCTTTATAGCTGAACCCGCGAGCGAGTGTCATACAAGTATGACTCGAGTATGACTTTTTTGCTCAATGAAGCAAGCACCGATGTAGAGCTATGATGCTCTTTTCGCATAATGTGTCATGTTAATGAACTAGATTGTAGTTACTCACACACTAGCAATTCCGTAAAAAAAAAAATTTCCAGCAAAGAGTTTGTTTCTCAGAATAATGGAATAATAAAAATCGTGAACATCGAGTAACGTGTGGCACACTTTCTTCGACCCTTATCGAATTTTCTAGGTAAATATTTTTTACGACGACCTCAAAAAAATTAAAAATTAATATGTTTCACTACGGGATTCGGCAAAAAAAAGCTTTCTCTGGTTTTGATGCTCTTGGCATGAAGAAATGCGTTATTTGTGTGATTTTCGAATCAAACAACTGTGACATGACAAAATCTTTAAACACTTAAAAAAAACTTTTAGAACTTGCAACTTTGAAAGGCTCAAAAAAAAAAGTGATGTGTGCCACGCCTCGTTCCTTCACCAATTTTTCCACGCTTCTAGACGCATGTGCAAAATAAAAAATATTCGTGTCCCAAAAGTGCGAAATTGTTTTTTTGTTTCCAATTTTTCGAGACTCTTCGCCGGAGTTTTTTGTGGAATTGCTCACGAGCGCGCTGGAATAAACAAGTGATAAGAAATTAAAAGTCTCACGGAGAGACACATACAGAGGGGAGATAGGCAGACATGTTGGACTCGCATATATTATACTCAAGTATTTGCGATTAAGGAAAATCGAGATGGTAGGAAAAAAAAAAAAAAAACAATCAAACAAGCGGCCATCGATGACGCTTCGACCACAATGACAAAGCTGAACTGGCAAACAAGTCTCTGTACGGTCGAGAGTATCGATAGCAAAAAAAAAAAAAAAAAAAAAAAAACATAAAGAACCGGTTCTCTCTCTCTCTCCCGTTAAGTGTGCAAGTCTCGAGTATCAGGTCTTTTCGCACTCTCAACTTTTGCATGGAAACGAAAAATGAACCAAGTGTGCAGGAAAAACAAAAAAAAAAATCAAACCCACCTGCAGTGATGGACGGATATAGGTGTAGAAAGCGGAGACCCTTTTCCGCAAAGACGATCGGAGGATAACTGCGACCTGCAATAAATACTCGTGTCCTTAAGAGCGCGTTGATAAAGCGACGATGACTCGGATGTGTGTATAGTCGTGCACAGGAAAGATATACTTGTTACTTGTCAATTTCAGTAGATAATAAATATATACGTATCAAAGATGCGATTGTGCGCTTGGTCTGCGCGTCTACGCCCGACTACTGCTGCTGTGCTATTCCTGCGAACAAAACATGAACTATGACAGGTATGCAATATATTCGTGTGACCATGCAGCGTTAGTGCAGTGTACCTTTTTATTTTGCAATTATTGACTGCGGCGCAACAACACCGCTAGCGCCAATGATATTGTTGAATGTCCGTGAGGTGGTGAAAATTGGAATTCTCGGAATCGGGGGTATTGGGAAAAATAGATTTTTGCCGTTATTTTTATAAAAATCGAGGGTTACGCGTGTTGAAATTTACAAGTATAACATTACGATGGTTTTATGAAATACGTCCGAAACCATTGCTTTATGTGAAGAAACATATATTTCAGAAAATCTGAAAAATTGGTTTTTTCTGTACATGGTATCACCATCTTGATGGTTCCAATTTTCGCCACCTCGTGAGATTTCAACGGGTATACAGTTCTGGAGCTATTCCAACCGACCGTTCCTTACTCGTGAAAGTATATCATGCCAGATGGCAGACTCATGGAGTACGTGTTTAAATTGACACAAAAATTGAAAGTTAGAGAATAAATTTATCCTAATAATCATTTTTTATAAAAATACTTGAATACTTGATGTAAATAGCTATTTATATATGTGACTAGCAAAGGCGTTAAATACGCGTTATAGACGAAATTATTTTACTGGATCATTTAAACAATTTTCCATACTATTTTACATCAGAGGTGTCTGATGATTTACCAGAGCAAAAAATACATCTATCGATAACATGATTAATTAATTAATTATATGTGTATCAGTAAGTAATCAATAAGTTTGAGTTTCAAAGTTACGCGCTGCGTGTGAGCTTCTCTGCTTATCGATATATCGAACATATTCGATTTAAAGGTTGCGGCAATTTTTAAATTGTGTCTGCATGTGTGCACATACACACCAGAGACCGTGTGTAAATCTGCCAAAAACCACCATCCTGCCAAATAATTATCATACGAAATTGCTCCGATAACCGATTAAGAGTATTTGTCCCCACATTAATATCTAATGGTTATTAGTCACTAAAAATTCACACCATTTCTGGGGTTTGGTCGTTGTGTGTGAAGATTGTGAGCAAAGCTTAACGAAAGTCTCGCAAAGTGCAGAGTATATGCAGCTGACACATGCCGACGATGACAGTCGCTCGCGGGATACTCTCTCTCGCGTACGCGAGCTTCGTTGTTCGCGGACAACACAATCCCGTAAAATATACACAGTACTGCCTCGTTTCCCCTCTGCGCAAATCTCGTAAAGTCAGGGGGGAAGAATCAGCGCACGCAGTTTCTAGTATACGCACGATAGGTATATGTGATCGCCGGTATTGTTTGTGTACACAAAAGGTGTGAATACCCTCGGCAATCGATGAGGGCGTCGAGGAAAACATCAAAAACGACGCTTAGTCGTCCGCCAAGCGGCTGCAACGAAGGACGCGGCGTGCCTATATCTACTCCCTGGTGGACGCATGTCGGCTACAAAGGAGCCTGAACCAGCGGACGACGAGGCCCTCATCTCATCAGCTGCACCCAGTTTAGCCCGATAATGGGTAAGTTTTTTATAGTGTGTAGTAATATTTAGAGCATTGTTGACGGGACTGTTGTGTTTCACCAGCTAGCGAGGGTGGAGGAGCTTGTATTTATTGCCTCATAACCTTTATTGTCGTTGATGCTGTGTGTGTGTGTGTGTGTATATATATATGATGCTCTTGCAGCTCTCGACGGTTTATGTCCTCACAAGTATAACTATACATGCACTTTCTCATCTTCTCGGCGCGCCGGCGGCGCAAGAGAGAATAGGGAATCTCTGTACACCTCCGCTTTTTCGGCTTCTTACCACCGCATATACTTGGGGGTCAATGCACGGCTTATGCGGGCCATGTACCTAAGTATTTATGTGTACTTTCTTTCTTTCTTCTTTGTAGATGATGCGCTGCGCTTGTTTTTAGTTTCCTTCGTAAAAGGTAAAGACGAGCTCTCTGGACCCCAAAGCACATAATATAAGCTACCCTACACCGTATGACACCTACGTAAATGTGTGCCTGTGTGCTGACATACGATCGTCCTTCGTGTCTGATGCCTTTGTTTCGTTCGGAGTCTATACATGGGGGTGGTATAGCGTATGACGAAGCAGGGGTAGTTTTTCAAGTGCAAGGTACTGCTGGGGTAAAGACTACCCGAGATGTGGCACACGCGTGCGGGACTGCTTGTTTCTCGTCGTCGTCCCCCTTTTCACGTACATATTTGGTATCATCTGTGCGGGTGGGTGATTTTTGGAGCGTGTCGCGAGACAGGAATTTTGCGTTGTGTGTATACTTATACCTCTATGCACTTATGTATATATGTAGGTACATGCGCATGTTTCGCTTTGCACAAACAGAAAGTAACTGCACGAACGATGATTCATTTTTTTTTCTTCTTCAAAGTACTTATGTATGTTCGCTTACATTTGGATCAATAACGAATAAGTAAGTTTCTTGCTGGCAAGCTTGCTGGTACACTCGACTATAATATATTATAATACATACACTTACTTGCACACTTTTTCGGGAGACGCTCGTTTTACTTTTTCGCTTTGCGTTTTGAAATTTCACATAAACGCAGCGCGTACTGCACTCGAAAGTAATGTATTAATTTATAGTTGGAAGAAAACAATCGCGTTGCTGTAATATTATCAAAGAAATGTTCCACCTTTCCGCGTAAAATCATTAAACGCTTGTGTATTTTTATGCGCCAGGTATTAGATCGACCTTGAAGAAACCCATTCGCCAAAGCGATTAGATGATCCACGCACAAAATATACCAAGCATATAGCCGCAAGTAACTCTAACGTAATTTTTGCTTCCATCGTTTATTCATCCATAAGTGATCAATTTTTAACGCACCGCTCTTTTATATTCCACTGTAAACCCTATAATCCGCGTGAATGCAGCTTTTCTCTTACCCAAGACTCTTATATGTTATTCACATCAACGAGCTTTTTTGTCTCTGTTGCTGCGTCCAGTGTCATTTCAAAATGAAAAGCCCCAAGGGCCACAACGAAGATGACCAACTCGCGAGATGTGAAAAAAAGAGATAAGGCGCGCATTGTGTGCACCCCACCGGGAGGAAAAAAGGAGCGCAGCCGATCGCTTTTGAGGCGCGAGTTGTCCTTTCGCCGGTCGCCCGAGGGAATCGACGAACCTTTTGTTGTCGCCTTTCACTCGCTATATGCAACCGTTAATACCCTCGCCCCCCCCCCCTTCTTTTTTCCCCATTAATCGCCAGCGGCAGCCCCCAGGAAGCGACAAAGTATGCCAAAGAGTACGACCCTCTGTCTCTCGCTCTTTGTTTATAAGCACTCACGGCTCTCTCTCTCTCTCGTGGCAAAGCAAGTATCGGAATAATGGGGCTCGTTCAGCAGCAGCGAGAGGGAAAGGAGCTAAGGTCTCTTGTACATATTCGGGCGAATAATCGATTTCGCGCGGTGCCGCCGACGCCCGCGTTCGCTGCTCCATTATTTCGCTATATACGTACAGGAAAAGAGAGGGGCTGCAGCAACGCGTGCACGAGAAAAGTGGGACGCAATTATAAAGAATGTGCCGTGTGCATACACATTTGTAGGGTGGTGGTACCTATAAATATACATATATATATCTCTGGAGATTTTTTTTTACTTTTCCGCCCCTGCGTCGTGCACTTGGATGACGGAGGTACTTATACCTACTTCCGTTTGATGGATGCATTACTTTGAAGAACGCGCGTTTTGGATTTTAACGCGTTCTCTTTTTTTTTGCTCCTCTGCCGCTCCAAAGAGATCCAAAACGGCGAGAGAGCTGAAAGGTTTTCTAAAACCGGACTACGACTTTAGGTATACAAAAATAGACCTCTCTCTTTTTTTTTTCGGTCTCGTTGCAATGGATGCTACACACAATAGATTCATTGTGATGCGCGATTTAATCGTCAAGTCGCGATTAGTGGTTTTAATAGCTGATGAGTCACGCGATTGCCGTATCCCTGTTGTGGTGGATGTATCCTCCGAGTACATGATTGAACAGCTAAAAATACCTGTTGGCGTCTAAAGTTCGTTTTTTTTTTTTTTTTTTTTTTGTTACCTCGAATTGACCTTATGGATATTTGCTTTTTCTAATATATATATAAATACATCCTCTTTCCTTTAGTACCTGTCATGTGCACAAATATGTAATGTAGGTAAGTAAGTATATTATATTCTAATCGATGCGGACACCCTAAAATGCACTTTAGCTGCTTCAATGCGACACGATTGCACACGTGCCTGTTACTTGTGTAAACATCCTTGGCCGTTCCAGTATGTATATATCTTACATTTAATTTGTAGCGCGAATTTTCAATCGAAATAAAATGTGCACACCGCGTGACGTGCCGATGGAACATCAATTCACGCGTCAAATCCAAATGTTTACTATCTACCATGCGCGTGTAGGTAAAGCATTCAAACGGAGGCAGAAAAATAAATCCGAAAAGCCAAGTCTTTTTCAAGCAAACTAGATCGGCTTTCCCGGACGGGGACGTCGTGACTTCCGGGTTTTCCGAGCGCATTATTATAAAGGCGACTCTCACCGGATCTATGAGATCACAAAATACAACCCGCGAGGGTGCAGTGACGGATATACATATATATAGATGTATACACGCGTAGGGAGAAAGAATAAGCGTCTGTCAGACGCGCTAAGAGCGAGATCCTGTAGCAAGTGCATATTCCACTTCCACCGCCATGTAAGTATATTTTCATTTTCTATTTAAGGCCGTGGTCGCCGACGCGACGGCGGGGCGTGCCTTTTTCGTGCGTATATATGCGGAAATCACGCGGCGCGACGCTATTCTGATGAACCCAAGGTATAGATGCGCTTCGCTTTGTCTCGTTTACTCAAAACGGAAGTTTATTTTTTGTTTTCGGGATAGCTCGATGGCCTTTTTTTTTTAAATGGTGCTTTGTAATTTTTTTTTCCCCCCCAGTGATCCTATTGTGTTTTTGGTGAAGGAGGAAACGCGCGCACGGATCAATGCACCGCGGGGATGGGATTTTTATGCGACACGGGTACACGGATGAACGACTGCTGTGCTCATATTTACGTATATATTATGAGGTATCGAAAAACTCGGGACCGATGATAAATATACGTATATACGTGTATAATCGGGTGTTACTTTCACTTTCTCGAGAGATTATTCGCTCTCCCGCGCCTTCCGCTTCTTCGAGCATCTAGTACACCGCGGTATAGGCTATACTATATACTTACTTTCGCTTTGGATCGGGATTGCATCGAAAAACCTCTTGCAAATCCTGACTCTTTTTTTTTTTCGGTTTGCATTTGGCTCTTGTCTCGATTTGCATCGTAGTTAGATTTCTTACTGTTTTTTCGCTTACTTGGTATTAAAATTTTTCATTGGTCAGCCAAGTTTTTTAGAATTATTTCTAATTAAAAACTCTTTTATCGAGTTAATCGCGCGTTTTGATTGTATGCTGGAAGTCGAAAAATATCAACAATGAAACAATACATATATTAATCCTGTAACTATAACGTAAAATTCGTTATTGAATTGATTTGTGTTTGCGTGTGTGGGTGGGTGGTCCTGAAGGAGATTACTCGTCTCTTGAATTTTTAATTGGTTGTTTACTTAACGGTAAGGCCGTATTCGATATACGCACTGTGTAGGTGGTCGCTTCTAACGCTTGTGCGAGATTATTCCAGGAAACGTTTCTTTTGTACGTTTATCGGGTCTTTGCTTCGTAGTATATACCTAGAAGTAATTTATAAAAATAGATAATCGTATACACGCTCAACAGTGAAAAATTTGAGCTATTAAAAAATCAAGTTAAATGAACTTGCCTTTATACCGTATGACGAATTTTCATATCGCTTATGTGATGCTACATATGTTTACAATATACAATATAATGAGTTGTTAGCCATTAATGTGAAGTTTTTGTTATCGCTACAATTTATTCTAATGAGTTCTAAATAATACTTGAGTAGCTATCTCTATCATTCAGTCATAACGTAATTACATAATGTGAATTTCGAAAATCATTTTTTTTCTTTCATTGAACACCGATTTTTGAAGGCCTTTTCTATTCTTTATTTTCACTTGGAGAAAATAATTTCAACAGACACTTAGCTAAACTCCATACTTGAAGAGACGCCTATATTTTTTCGACGATACCCCAGCGTCCGCCAAATCTCACGAGATGTAGGTAATTACTTCGTCGCATACCTATACCTATACAACTAAACGCAGTTTCTTCAATGCAATACACCTGCACAATAATGCAGTTAGATCACTTTACATGGCTTTGAAGGTCAAATCCACTGTACTTACATGTTTTCAGTTGATTTTTAATGGTTTTACGTTTCCGTTAGGATTACGTTGCATTTTGAAAATCTACTGTATTAACACGCTAAAGAAAAAATGTATATTTATTATAGGTTCCAAATTTTTCCTGTTTCTAGTTACATATTAATATTCTGTTGAAATAACGTTTACGAGTAATTTGTTATAAAAATTTATTCAAATCAAACAGTTGCATGTGTATATTATACAAACTTGAATTTAAAATTAGCGCTCCGCTCGATGATAGGTACTCGGGGGAAAAAAAAAAAAAACACTTTGGCATCTTTTTTTCGCGCGTTCTCACAGTTCAAAGAGTCGCAATTACCATTAGCGTGCCACAGACAATGCCCAGAATTTGCATTGCGAATCGCGGAGCTCGGCAATACATTTAGAATGTCGAGTGTCGCCGCGTCATTCGTATTCCACCGATGTCGATCTTTTATTTTTCAACAAAAATCGTCCTTTCTCCCCCCCAAAAAAAAAAAAAAAAAAAAAGCTCGACTGCACGAGGCCTCCGAACCAAAAGGCCTCCACTCCCCAAGGGGCACAAGCGTCGGAGCCGATTCTCGTGAATCTTTAATCGCGAGATCAGTAGACAAATGTACCCATACGTGCACAGGCACCTGTTGCGCGTCGCATGAAAAAATTACTCGGACGTACTCTCCAAAAGAGCCGTACATATAGGTACCCTGTTTGATCTGAAATTAAAATATACCTCCTGCAAGTATATGGGTACAATCGTTCGAATAGTGTCGCTTGTGCGGGGTAAGTCGGAGAGAGGGAGAGTGCCCCACTAATCAGGTGACGCGTGTGCCGGAGCGTCGTTAATTGCCTGTTTGCGTTCAATTTATCAAGTGGCGAGGAAGAGGAAGTAATAGCTGGCCCCCTGTGTGTCTACCTATAATTTACTCACTTACTCCTCACTCGTGGCGTTGTTTGCCTATCATAACGCACACAGCCGCGTTTCTACGGGAAACAAAAAAGTCAAGTACAAGTACACGTGCCAAACACATACACCATAATAGCAGCAGAGAAAAAAAGGGAAAAAGAAACGCCGCAAACCGTAAATACACTGATAGGCACACTCGAGTACCACCTAGAGGTATACTTTACCTGAATCCTTTGCAGAGGTGGTGGCTTTTGTGCTGGTTGATTTTTGTCGATCGAGACGCGCTGCCGTCTAATTCGGAATAATGTTACTGCAGTGCTTAAATACGCGCGATTCTTGCACAGGTATAATCAAAGAATTTTCGACGCTCATTGTAGTGGTGTTTTTTCATTATTTCATTTGGAAAAGATGAATACATTAACGAAGGATGCGCATCTTTACGATTTATGCTTGCAGACGGACACCTCGGGATGTCGCGAAACACGGGTCCCGGCTTGTACGAGTTTCTCATGGAGGCAGAGCTACAACAGTATTATCCTGGAATCAGAGGTTTCTCTTCCTTTTACATTATTATTTTTTTTTTTTTACTATATTTTACACACGAAATATTGATACACTCCATGGAAATAAAAGTTTTTTTATACTGTACATTTTACACTAATATGACTCTTTCCCTGATATAAATCTTACAGCGTGACTCACGGTATACTTAATACAAATTTATGAAATACATGTTTTTCTTTCATCGATATTGTTGAAAGTTACTCTGATAATTTAAACGAGTCGAAAATAACTTGTTTGAAGATACTATTCACTTTTAAACCAAGTGATAAGTCACAGTTTTAATTAGTGAAAAAAACCAAGCACTATTTCAACGGAGCTACATAACATTTTTTTCCCATATTCTTTTAATTTTATTGAAAGTATTGCACTGACTCCATCAGTAAATAAGATTTTCTTAACAAAATTTAGTGAAAATATCGGTGAGAGTTTATGACATTTTGTTTAATAGTTTTTCACTAGTTTGCTAAACACATAATTATGTACATACGTGTTGTGCAGGCGATCTGAAAGTCCAGAACACGGCGCAGCTAAAGTACGTGACCGAGGAGGACCTGTGCGGCATCGGGATGACCAAGCCCGAGATGCGAAGGCTCAAAAAGTACTTTCAAAAGCACTTTCCCCAAAACTACCTGTCCAAGTTCAAGAAGATGCTGCTCCCGAAGAAGGAGGAACAGCTCCCGGGTAGCCTGACGATGCTCCCGGAGGAGCGCCAGGACAGACCGCCCGTGCGCGTACCCAACAAACACATGATACCCGCCGATGCGATAATCGTCAACAAAGAACTCGGTAATCACAGGCTACTTGTGGCGCTGTTAATCTAAAAGACGTCGTGTGGCAAACAATGTTAAATTATCTTATTATTTGTATAGGAACGGGTGAGTTCGGTGTGGTGCAACAGGGAGTCTGGACAAACGACGGCGAGCGCATCCAGGTGGCGATAAAGTGCCTGTCACGCGAGCGCATGCAAAACAACCCGATCGAGTTCCTGAAAGAGGCCGCGATCATGCACTCGATAGACCACGAGCACATTGTGCGCCTCTACGGCGTCGTCCTCGACACGAATTCCCTGATGCTTGTTACCGAGTTGGCGCCCCTGCGCTCGCTCCTCGAGTGCCTCAAGGAGCCGAGCCTGCGCGCCAGCTTTCCCGTGCCCTCGCTCTGCGACTTTTCCGTCCAGATAGCCGACGGCATGCAGTACCTGGAGGCCAAAAGACTGATACACCGGGATCTCGCTGCCCGCAACATACTCGTTTTTTCCAAGAACAAGGTCAAGATCTCCGACTTTGGGCTCTCGAGGGCCCTCGGCGTCGGCAAGGACTACTACCAGACCAACTTCAACGTCAATCTCAAGCTGCCGATAGCTTGGTGCGCCCCCGAGTGCATATCCTATCTCAAGTTCACCTCGGCCAGCGACGTTTGGGCCTATGGTTAGTACACACGTTTAAACATTCGAGCTGCTGTTTCTTCCGTTGATACTCGCATTATACCTTTTACATACTTTTTTACCACCCCTAATCGGCAATCGCTTCAGGTGTCACGCTGTGGGAGATGTTCAGCTATGGCTTCCAGCCGTGGGCCGCGCTGACGGGGCACCAGATTCTCGAGGCGATCGACGAGCCTAACTTCCAGAGACTCGAGCAACCGGACTGTTGTCCCAAGGACTATTTCAATCTTATGCAGCAGTGCTGGCAGCACGAGCCGAACAAGCGTCCCAAGTTCTCGGAGCTCATCTGTCTGCTGCCTGACCTCAAGCCCGAGCAAGTGCAGCCGGTCCAGGACAACTCGGAGATCGGACAGCTGAATTATCGCCAAGGCGACGTCATTACGGTGCTCGACAAGGGCACTGCCAATACGGCGCTCTGGAAGGGCGTCCTCAACAACGGCAAGACTGGACTATTCAATCCAGCGCACACGATAGCCTACCTGGGCAACAATTTGCCGAGTAACAAGCCCGGAGAGTTCACTCGAGGTGACGGCAAGAATATATTCTCGTCGCAGGTAATTTTATCTCTGAGTTTTATTTACAAGTAAATAGGATAAGCGTAGGTGCGTGATGAATAATTTTTTTTTTATAATTTCATTAGAGGAGAAAAATACGCACAGACATGATTTCCTCTCCCCAAGGGGACCTAAAGCACACGGGCCACGTTGGCTTGGACGGGGCTTACTTTGGGGACATAAGTTTTCTCGGAGGCAAGTACACGCACTTGCCGCGCCAGGTTGTGACTCCGTACAAACCGCAGGAGGACGCGACCGACAATAATTCTAGTCAGTTGGCGAGTCAGGACGTTGTGATGAGAAACGTGGACAGGGACGGAAATCGGGAGAGCAGGAACATGCAGCACGTGTCGCGTGACTCGCAAAACAAACATGGTAATGTGTTTGACCAGTCGCTGCTTAAATATTATAAAACTTTTGAAAGAATAGCATGTTTAATGTTGTATACATTTTTTTGCATTTACTACAGATAGCATATGGTCGGAAACGTGTTCGGACATGTCGCAGTTGAACTCCGGAAATGCGTCCAATAACATGACATCCAGTATGGTAAGCAGTACCGACAGCAGTACTATTTGCGGCGATCACGAGTATCACGAAATCAGCGACGAAGAGAATCAGGACAGCCCTTTGCGATTCGATAAGCCTCTTAGCTTCGATTTCGGCCCTAGTCTCCTGGACGAGATGGATCAAATGTTCCGATCTCTAGGTATTTTTTCGCTAAAGGCGATTAGATTTCCGTGCGAATATTTTAATAATGTATATTCTCCGATTTGAAGGATCGTCACCGCCGCCCCCGCCGCCGCAAAGCCATGCAGTGCCAACAGAGCACGAATCGAGTAATGCCAGAAACGAACTTCGGGAAATTCAGGCGAAACAAAGCTCAAAAAAGAAACAAGCGACCGTGAGTCCAATAAACGTACAGTATATATTTTTATTTTGTTTTTAGTTGGATTCATTTGACTCAAAAAAGTTTCATTGCTTATTCGTTCGTCATTTATTTTATTAATCGTTCTTTCAATGAATGTTGTCTCGCATTCATATTATATACACACATGTTCATGTTTTTGTGGCTTTTCATATGGCAAGTTGAAAAAAAAAAAAAAATAATAAAATAAAACAAAACAGCAACAACATCGCAATAGCATATAGAGAAACAGGTTTTTCGTGAATTCGCTGTCATAGGCTTCCACAGGCTTCACCCTTTTATTTTACCGACATTGTGAATTTTTCTTCCCTTTTATGATGATGAATGATTGTAGTCTCAGTTGATTCACACGATCGTCACTCGAATAACAAGTTCATTATTTCTCACGTTCCAAAAGTGAGATAACCAATGGTTATTATCTTTAAAAAAACAAAAGTAAAATCAATGCCGGCAAAATTAAGTAATCATCATCTAAGAAAGTAAACTAAAGCACCGCATCACCGCCTAACAACGCTCACATCCTTGATGGACGTCAGAAAAATAGCCAGTGTCGATTGTATGGCTCGGTTACCGCTCGTGTCCCAACAGGTGAAGCCAATATCGGCGGCCGATCAGAAAACACTGTACTCGGCGATTGCGATGGCCCAGGAATTGACGGCCCGTTCCATGACGGACCTCGAGCATTCCCAGGACGCGCTTCACTCGCCCCGTACACCCGCTAGTCCCACGCGACGGCGAAAGTTCTCATTTAAGTTGCCACACCAACACAGTCCAAAACCCGACAGACGACACTTTGCCGAGGAGGCTGCAAGTATACCTGACATTCAGGTATAACACACTAGTTTTTTTTATAATTTGCTTTATTTTAGATTATTCTTTTACCTTTTTTATTTTTAGTTTGGTTTTGGGTTTAGAAATTAACATTTATTTTCATCTAAGATAAACTCTATTTAATTTGGCTTATCTCATAGCTTACGAGACAAATGTCGTTACATTTTCTCCTCCAGCAACGATAAGCCAAAATTTTTACGGTTTCCTTTTCTTTCTACAGATAGTGTTTTTTTTTTCAAATTTTCATTTCTGTTAATTTAATCATTTTACATATAACACATGATAACACATGAAATAACCATATATATGTATATATTCTAATGTTTCATTGTTATGAAAGTACAAAAAATAACACAAACAATAATCCTGGTTATGGAACGGCGCTAATTCTTGATGCCAGACATTGATAAGGTCTTATGTAAATTTAACCTTGCTCGCCATCTAACAGCATTGACACAAAGTAAATCCTCTAAAGCTCTTTTAAATTTCAATTTTCACATCATACGGATGATTTTTTGCCCTTGAAACTTTATAAGTTATTCAATATTGTGTTTTCGTTTATTTGTTCAATCAATGTAAAGGCGTAATATTTTTATCTGCATTGTTTTACATCGAAATCGTATTAATCAACGAGATAATTAACGAGATTATTAAAAACAATATTTACTTAATGTAGATACGAAAGTTGTGCCTTTACATTCGAATGCTTACTAATCTATAAATACTAATGCCATTTTACCCCCCTCGTTTCTCCCTGTCATCCTTTTTTATTTTTTTTACTTTGAATTTGTTTATTTATCGTTACAAAACCCTTCTTTACACGTCACCCTTTTTTTACTTTCTCATTATCTCTTTTGCATCCACGTACACTTGCTTGCTTGCTTTGCATATCAATATGGTGTAAGCAAATTTTTTTTTTTTTTTTTTTTAATTGTCGCCTGCAATGAAATGGTCCTTGGTACTAATTAGTGGCTTTGCACGAGCTTACAATCCCTGTCCTCGACCGTATCCAGTATAGAATCCTTGGGCGCGCCCTCAACCCTCAAACTCCCCCTCTGGGACAAGGCCTCTGCCGAGTTCTGTTTCGCCAAATCTCGCGAACTCCTGACGAAACCTAGTGCCTGGACTTACGTGGACGACGAGTACGACGCCCATATTCTAAACAACGCATCCATGAGACAGAATCTCGTAAAATCGACCGAGTTCCTGGAGAACGGCAATGGCCACCGAAAGAGCATCGCCAGCTGTCTGGAGTTCGAGGTGCAGCATCACCAGCACCAGCAAAACGGAAAAGCCCACGGCAACGGCGTGAATATCGATTTTTCCCAAGAGCCGAAGCGCGTCTCCACCAGCTACGTGGATCGCTACTTCGAGCATCCCAAGTATACGGACGAGGACGCCTCCGTGGACGGCGACGAGATATCGTACGAGGACGAGCAGAAGATCAAGGAGCTCGAGCAGTCGTGCCGCAACGCTTTCTTGGCCAATTTCCCGGAGTTTGGCAGGATGCTCAGCGAAAACCATCGAGCCGCTCAGGCAAGCAGAGAGGCCGAGTCGTCCACGAAAATTGTCCAGCTCAAGTACGACACACTTGCCCACCTGGATCTGGGCACGAGGCCCAAAGCCACGAACAGCGATCCGATAGCCAAGGTGAGCATGAACGAGCCGTCGAACGCGCAGGAGCTGCAGCAGAGAGCTTTCCTGGGCAGCAGTCCCAGGCACCCGAACCACGATCTCCAGAAGAACATGTACAGTGGCTCGTCGGACAGCATGAAGACGACAGTGCCGGACAGTCCGCGCTCGAACCTGGAGGCGGTGAGGATCAACATTCAGAGCTACAGAAAGTACAACGAACAGAGCAGAAACGGGCATCACCAGAACAACGGCCACGAGAGCGGCGGTCACTACCCCTACGCCATATCCAACAATCCTCTGTTCATGCTGGACATGGAAAAGCGAGATTCGCCGCTCTACAGCAGCTCGGAGAGCCTCAACGTAAACTGCGTCCAGCGAGCCCGCAGAATGTCCGACGTCGAGCTGAACTGCAACCGCTCGATGGATCAGAAGCAGCAGCCACACATAAACTTCAAGCCCGCGGGGGACAAGCGCCAGCGCGAGATCATAGGTCTGGAGTACGTGAAGAACTACTTGGACTCCAAGAAGAACCAGTCGAGCTTGAACCTGGGCTTTGGCAAACTCACCCAGAACATGATCCAGCTGGGCAAGAGCATCGCGCAAAACACCAGGAACACGGTTAACTCCTCGCCGCGCAACAGCTCGAACAACCACGTGACCCCGCCGCCCCAGAAACCTAACCACCTTGATCTGAGCTTGCCCCTGCACAACAGTTCCACCAAGCAGCTGTCAGTGAGTCCGACGATCCATCAGCGCATCCTGGAACCACCGAAGCTTTATCAGAACGACCGGAAGATCGCGAGCATTGCTAAAACCGAGATATTCGTGGAGAAGCTTCAGTCGACGACAACGACGAGCGTCTTTCGGCCGCGGACCTCGTCCCTCTCGGAGAACCGTCGGCCGCAGCTGAAGCACCTTCGGCGCTCCTTTCACCAAGGAGCTAACGACTCGAGCGAGGACTCGGACTCGATCTCGCACTCGGAGACGGACATCCGGAGCAGACTGAGGCTCAAGCGCCGCCACCGGCGTATGTCTCACAATCTGCGGTTCAACTTCAAGAACCAGAAGGCCGCCGCCGCAGCTGCCGGCCATCAGAAACAGCAGCACGCGAATTTCCTGCACCCGGACGCGGCTCGTGGTTTCTCGAGTCTCGAGCTGAGCGGCAAATCGCCGCCACCCTCGACGAGCTTCCTGAATTCTCTGTCGCCGCCCTTCTCAACGCGAAACAACAACGTGGTGGCGACCTCCTGGCCTGAGAGCGCGCCCAGCTCTAGCATCACCTTTACCAGCAACTCCGATCTCGACTCTGACACCAGTTCCGAGTATCCCGAGTTTAGCAGTGACGTGCTCACCTTCCCTCCGTCCCCGGCTCCCTAGTCAAACGCCCCCGTCCCTCACCATGTTCCTCGAACGTCCATATGTGATTCGAGCTATGTGTAAATTTTTTTTTTTTTTTTTTTTTGTCATCACTACAGATCGTTAAAGACGCACTTGGAAGTACTAGTCAGATGGATCAGGTTTACGTTCGGGGCAGTGAAAAAAATTGCACTCGGTCAGTGATTTCTAATTTTAGTCATGATGAACTAAATGATATTGTACATATATATAAATGACGATGAAAAGTGCGATGCTACGTCAAAGTCGAGCTTACGAGACAACAAAAAAAAAAAAAAAAAAAAAAAAAAAAAAAAAAAAAAAAAAAAAAAAAAAA